GTATCGGCGTCCGGCCGGAGAAACCGTGCAGGGGGAGCTTGTGTTGTGGGCGGCCAGCCAGCAATCATTCTCGCCCGGCCTGTTTGCGCCCTGCTTCATGCCGCCAAGGGCGAGCAGCGAGCTGACCAATAGACGCCAATGGGATCAAGCCGTAGCTCGAGTGGTAAACGCTGCAGTGGTGCAGCGGCCGGTCGTGGGTACAAGCTCTGCTCGACTCACGATCCCCATCGAAGTTTTTTTTTTCATATTTAACAGGTGCAGCCGGGACCGAGCCTCAGCTCGGATGGTGAGCCCTCCCGGTGTGGAAGCCACCGGTCCTGCATAAAGATGGCAACAGGGACCCGATAACCGACGGGTATTTGATCCATTAGGAGACGGGATGGGATCATATCTTTATCCGTGGACATCTTTTTTTTTCATATTTAACAGGTGCAGCCGGGACCGAGCCTTAGCTCGGATGGTGAGCCCTCCCGGTGTGGAAGCCACCGGTCCTGCATAAAGATGGCAACAGGGACCCGATAACCGACAGGTATTTGATCCATTAGGGAACGGGATGGGATCATATCTTTATCCGTGGGCATCTAAATGGGAAAGAATCCATACCCGACGGGTATAGCGGGTACGGGAACGTTCCCTGTTTACCCGTCCCCGTTACCCGTTGGGGAACCCGACTATTTGAGCTGTCTTGCGAGTATTAGGCCCAAAGAAACTCAACATAGGTATTTTGGTCCAAATCTGAATAGTTATATATATAGTTTGTGTGTTCTAGGAACCTTCGTTCAATTTTTCCTCACCATCTCCGCCAGCAGCACAAGCACGCCTGTCTCACGAGCACTCGTGCCTCTCGCTTCCTCAGTTCGGTCTCTTTGCCACCTTTGCTCGTCCTCTTTGTAACCTCACTCCTTCTCCTCGGCATCTCCGAGACTCCGACACTTATACCCGGGTGAAGAAGAAACATCTCCGATTGCAAAGTCACACCCCAAGTGTCCTTGTTTATCGGGTATGCAAGACTCACGATGCCGTCGGTATCACATATCCCGGACCGATACCCGACGGGTATGGGGATGGGCAAGAATCTATACCCGAGACAGTTAATGGGAATGGAGACGGGATGAATTCTCCGTAGCGGGGAAGAGAACGTTCCGGCGATACCCGACGGGTATATCCCCGTTGCCATCCTTAGTCCTGCGTTCGAGTCCTGCTCGGCTAAGTGATTTCCCAGCGTGGGATTTATTTCCAAAAAAATAATTTTGCAGGTTCTGGACACTCGCGTGACGCTACAATGGGACTACGACGTGACCGTTGTCTACGAGGCTCGTGTGGCTTCGATGATTTTCAGAATGACGCTTGAGGTATATAGGTTGTAGCTTCTAAGGGTGTGCGTGTGTGGTGGTGTGAGTGTGTTGTGTTGAGTACAGATACTACAACTTGTACACTAGGAGTCCAGGCTAAAAAAACAGGTGAGTCTCTCTCGCGTGGAGCTATAAAGGAACAGCGACGCGTCCGTCGCCTACGGAGCCTTGGATGGTTTCGGTGATCTCCTCAAGGACACGATCTTGGAATCTAGGTATAGTTGTAGGGTCTGTTTGTGTACATGTGGTGTGAGTGATGTGTGTGTGAGTGTGTATGGTGTTGGTGTGTGTCTGTTCATGAACAGATACTGCAGGCGGCGCGTCCGTCGCCTACGGAGCCTTGGATGATTTCGGTGATCTCCTTAAGGACACGATCTTGAAATCTAGGTATAGTTGTAGGGTCTATTTGTGTACATGTGGTGTGAGTAAAGTGTGTGTGAGTGTGTATGGTATTGGTGTGTGTCTGTTCGATACTGCAGTTGTACCTCGATGAGAGGCGGAAAAAAATAGACACCCCCATGTGATCCACGCTGTCCTCCTGGGCCCACCCGTCCCCACATGGGCCACACCACACTCGATAGTCGATAAGCTTCCCGACGAACCTTGCGAGCGCTGTGGCTGTGGCTGTGGGTTCCATCCATCCAATCCAATTTCGGATTTGTTCGAGGTCATTTTCACAAAACGGGCACGCATTGGCACAGCCATTTCAGATCTGTCGCTACGTGGACTGCATCGGACGGCAATACAAAGTTTTCTCCTTTGGTTTTTTGTCGCTGTGTGTGTGTGTGTTTTGGATTCCTGCTATTTTGTCGCTGTTGGAGGGCAGGGTCGAAGGACTCATGGTTGAGGATAGCCGGTCCGAGGATCTGGCGGCCGTTTGGATTGCATTGTCATTGGATTACAGAAATTACGTAGCCGTTGCTGCCCCTGTAATTTCTTTGGACCTGAATTTTCAATAAGGCTATTGTTCTTGAGACTTTTCCTTGTGTGTCATTATAAAAGATCGTAATTCCTTATGTGTCCCTGAAAAAATTCAGCGGTCTTCAGCGTCACTACTTCAACTTTTTCGTGTCCTCCATGCCACTTCCGTCAGTTTGGGCTCTAACGCCGTCAAACTGCAGATGTAAAAAGACGAAAATTCCCTTAAGTCTAAATATGTTATTAAATTTTTTTGAGCATCTTAACGACTTCAAATGAAAAAACTCAAAACTAGAAAATTATAGATCTCGTCAAGATCTATAATTTTCATATAAAATATATTTTCATTTAATTCGTATCAAATCATATTTTTTTGCGGAATTAAATGAAAATATATTTTATATGAAAATTATAGATCTCGACGAGATCTACAACTTTCTAGTTTTGAGTTTTTTTCATTTGAAGTCGTTAAGATGCTCAAAAAATTAATAACACATTTAGACTTAAGGGTACACTTTTTCAAACCTGTTGAAATAGTGACCAAACTGACGGAAGTGGCAAGGACACGAAAAAATTGAAATGTGACGTTTGACGAATTTTCAGCACACGAAAATTACGATATTTTATAATAGCACACTGGGAAAAGTCTCATTGTTCTTGGTCGGATAGCAAGGCTCTAGCCTCTAGTTGCATACTCCCTCAAATGTCGTATGCGTACATGTTGCAACTGTGATTCAAAGAAAAAGGTCTGTCATAAAGTAAACACTTCTAGCTTTGATGATTTGTTTCAAAAAAAAATCAATCATTTTCACAACTTTCACAAAATATGAACTATATATTATGAAAGTATTTACCATAGTGAATCCAAAAACATAAACCTCATTTTGTTAGCCGGTTCATGTTTTAAGATTTTTAATAGTTAAAGATAGAGAAGGTATTCGCTGCAATAGCTCTTCATCCGTTGCTAAGTACCGTAGTTTGAACCGAAAAGGTTGCAGTTGCAGCCGCTTTAATGTTCAGCTAACATGCCTCTACTAGAAATGTTTGGCTTAGAGCAAAAGTAATACATATATAAGACAGATGGAGTATATAAGAATATAAAACAAAAATAGTTTTGCCATATGCAGACTTGTGCCTAGTCTTTTTTTTAACGGCTATAATTCAAGTGAGATCTACTGGGTCTTTGCCCTTGAACCATAATGAACTTGTCGGGTATCGTTATTAGTTAGCGTCCACGCTGACTCCTCCGATGTCGAAGACCAATACTAGTGTACCCGAAGAGGAGGAGCTAATAACCATCAACATTGATTCATCCAAGTAGTCAAGGCGTGACTACAGCTCCAACCAACCCCCAGGTGCGCAAGCTCCGCCTCGCCCGGCCTTTGGGGGAGGACTCCGCCTCGTCCGACCACGAGGCCACGGGCTCCGCCTTGCCCGACCCTTAGGTCTACACTTCGCCTCGCCCAGCCTCTGGGGAAGGACTCCACCTCGCCCGACTCCGAGGCCGGGGGCTCCGCCTCGCCCGGCCTCTGGGGGAGGACTCTGTCTCGCTCGATCCCGAGGCCGCAGGCTCTGCCTCGCCCGACGGAGACCCATACCGTCGCCAACCACTCCAGGTCTTAGCGAATGGGCCTGGGTCAAAGCTCTGACACCAGGGAGGTGACCGGCACGCCCCGATATAACCCGAGGCCGTGCCATTAACTCCTACCAAGTGCATTTCTGCTTATGTCTTGAGTTTTCTGGGAAGCCTCTTTCTTTCACCAAGCCATGCAAATTAGTGTGAGCATGCTGTAAAAATAAGTAACTACGATTATGTTTTCTTTTCTCTCATTTTAGACTAGAATTATGATTTTTGAGAACATTTTCCTTGTGGCATGCAGCCTTTGCTCAAAGAATCCGCAAATACCATACCGCCTACAGCAAATGGACACAGCACTGACTGTATCCAGCAACAAGTTGTTGCCTGTGAAGAAACGGTCGTTCTACTAGGCAACAACGACCATTTGATGTGTGCCAAGCCTGCTGATTCAGGCCTCACATCACAAGAAGGTTCAGACAGCAACGCGGCATCAGACACTCAACAATCGCCCTCGCCAACAGACGAAGGAGAAGAAGAAGCTCCGAACCAGAACGGCGCCGGAAAGGATAAGCAGAAAGAACCGGTTTCAGCGGGCTGTTCGTCGCGCCAGCTCTTCCCTCCTGGCAGGATCATCCACATGGTTGCGCTGCCCCCGCCGCCGGACCCAAACTCCGGCGACGGCACGGGCAGCGATGAGGTCGTTGGGACATACGAGACGCCGAGGGATTTGTACGGGAAGATACGGCTCGCGCCCAACATGATTAAAGAACATTACATGCCTAGCTATATAAGTACGATGGAATCGTTGTTGGAACAGCTTGAGAAGGACGATGATGATACCAGTGTATGTACCGCATCAAATGACCTGTGAATTATTGTAGAGAACTCGGTTGTGATTAATCCAATTCTTTCTCATCATCTTATTTTCTCTCACTTTTTTTTCGTTGACCGAGTGACATGGACGTCGCCTGTCCGTACGCGCGTCTCCGGCTCGTTCTCGCCACGCTGGCACGCATGCCGAGCTTGCGAATTCCCTCTCGGCCTCACGCTACAAGAGAGCACCTCCAGGCTTCCATGAAACAAATTCAGGCGTCCGTCCGTCCCCTTCCGCTGCAACCCGCAAGCCTGCTGCATCTCTCGCAAGGATCGACATGGCCGCCTCTGGTGGTGGTGGTGCTGCTCTCCGCGGCCTCGTCGTCGTCCTCGCCGTCGTCTCCGTCTCCATGTGGGGTGCGGAGGCCACGATCAACGTCAAGGAGACGTGCTCGTTCACGGCGCACCCGGACCTGTGCGAGAAGGACATGACCAAGCTGCTGGGCCTGGGAGGCGCGCCGGCGCCGGCGCCGGCAGCGACGACGTCGGCCTGAGATTAGCTAATGCTGCATGCAGCATGCATTCGCGATATTATAATAATATAATGTGATGTAACTTTGGTGTATCCTGCTGTTTGATCGTTTGGTGCGTATCCTCGATCTCTAAGGCTTGTCTAAGCGTCGCGTTGCGGACACCACAGCTGCTATGCTGCTCGCGCAGCGGTTTGGTGCACGTTGTAACGTTTTACACTCCTCTTAATGAAAAACGCGTCAACAGACGTGTTCTAAAAAAAAAAAGATCATCCGGGACGACGCTAATGTCTTCAAGAAATTAAATAGCTCCTGAGTGAAATGATGGATCAATCAACACGTGCATGTTTCGTCGTGCTGAGTTTCATTTGTTTTTGTTTTTTATATAAAAAAATGTCGTTCATGTTCTACCTTAGAATTCCATCATCAAGGCTAAAAGCTAGCACATGTGTCATTAGGCGGCATGCCACCAGCGCTTTCGCACAAGGATAAGGCAGCTGCTGCTGCGGCAGCGTCGTCGGCGAGCAGTAGTGAGGCGGAGCCAGCCGTCGACTGGGCGGAGAATGAGCGTTGCCGCAAGGGGAAGACGCCGGTCGTGAACGAAGACGGCGCATGCGCAGCGGTCGCTCGCCGGCCTCCTGCTGGCAAGCTCCTGGGCGACGCCATCCGGTCCCACGGGAGCACCGCCGTGGCCGGCTTCCAACCACCATCCAGAACGACGAAGCCCAAGAAACCACGAACGAAACCGAAGAAGCCAGCAAAGAAGGACCGAACGAAACCCAAGAAGAAGGACCGCGGCGCCTGGTTCTGGTGCGGCACGGGGAGAGACGGGATGTCATCGGCCGGGTCCGACGTGGACTACTCGTTCGACAGGATCGGCGTCGTGAGCGACAGGCTGCGGACCACCCTGAGGTGCCTCTGCGTCGCCGCCCCCGTGCGCCTCTACGGCAGGTTTCTGACCAGGTGCGACAGGGACATCCAGCAGACACGCCTGCTCATGTCGTGCAAGCGATGGCGCGCCGACGACGCCGAGTTCCGGCTCTGCGCGTTCCTGACGGAGGAAGAAAAGGAGAAGGCGCACGGCGCGGGGCTGCCGCTCACGGCGTACGACCTCGGCGGCGACGCGTACGAGCTCACGTTCAGGTTCTTGGAATGCAACGTCGCCTACCGGCGGCTTATCTATGTGGGGCGACTTCCTCAGGCACAAAGGCCTCGTCGTCGCCAAAGACGAGCCGGCACCGGTGGACGACGACGTCATGCTCGACCTGTGGATGTTCCGCCCGCCGGGGCCGGGAGGGAAGGTCGGAATGGTCATGCTGCACTACCGCAGAGGCGACGCCGCGCACGCCGACGCCGCCTTGGACGAAGTGGAACAGAAGAGGCTCCAGCTGATGCTGAACAATGGCGACGCCGCCGCCGCCGCCGCCGACGCTGTTATGGAGGACGTTGTGGGTGATGCGAACGAGAAGGGGGACGAGGACGCTGGCGTGATGGACGAGGTGGCGGCCACCGCACCCGCACCATCGTCCCCGTCGGAGCCTAGTGGTGGTGGTGCAATAGAGGCGGCCGAGGCCGCATCGTCCCCGTCGGAACCTGATGGTGTTGGTGCGAAGGCAGCCGAGGAACAGGCTGGTGCTCTGGGCGAGGTAGCGCACGACGCACCGTCGACTTCATCAGAGCTCCATGGCGGTGCCGGCCGGAGCGACGAGGTGACCGCACCATTGTCGTTGGGCGGCGATGGAACAGCGGATGAGGAGCAAGAGGCCGGAGGTTCGCTAATGGTAATGGTACTGCCACACAATCATCGTTGGACTCGAATGCTGGTGGTGCGCCAAACGAGGTAGCCGCGCCACCACCATCGCCAGAAGCTGGTAGCGGTGCCGCCATGATGGCGACGGAGGATGATGAGGCTGCTGACGAACTGGCCGAGGCAGCCGCGCGCTCGTGGAATGTTACCAAGTACGAGTACCAAGCCGCACAAGGGCTGGTGATGCTGTCTAGAGCTAACAGTAATAGCTAGCCCCGTGGATATATTGACTTGGTGTACGTATAGCATTTTGTACTCGATCTCTACATACGGCAAATCGAAACTATGCTACCGTGAAGTGTGGGTTAGAGCATGATGCATGGAGCATGGTGTTGGTTTAGGACTTTTAGACTGTCTCTTTACCTGGTTTTGTACTTGTATTTTGGCCAACGGTACCAGAACAGCTCATACTTGTTACAGACTAACAGATCAAAATTCGAGTGTCAGCAAAAACATCTCTCCCAGGTTCCATGAAGAATTAAAGACCAACAATCGGGTGCTAGTATAGTGATATTGACAAAAAAATCAAATAAATAGCCGGATTTGAATGATTGGGCCTAGGTGTCCAATGGCCTTAAAAGGAAATCTGGGCTGACATACCCGACCCTACATACATCACCATATAAATAAGGTAAATGCACATATTTCAGTGCTTCGACAACAGGATAGATTCATTGACACATAAATTCGTAAACAGAAAGCACAGCTTCATGAACATATAATCTAGGGAAAGATATATAAGCTAAACAGCGATTTAGCCCAAAGTCACAATTAGCAGCAGATAACCAAGTTCACCATGAGTTTTCAAATTGATGCAAAAGACAACATGAACATCACTGCAAAGAAAACAAAAAGGTTAAATAGAACCATGCCATTATAAACTCCACTACCCTCGCCTACTAGGGTAGATGCTATTACAATTTATCAAAAAATTGAAATATGCCATTTTTCTACGCCCATGGGCTACTTGGACGGTTGGACCATCTGCAGGCCATTGTGTTCTCGTATGCACCAAAATGCCACTTTCTTCCACGTCTATTCCTTCTTGACCTCTGCTAATAATAGCAGTGGTGGACAACAAGCTTTGGATAGCGCGTGGGGTTGGCGCCCCGGTCACCCTCTGAGCTCGTCCTCACGGTCCTCACGCTTTCGCCACTTGAGTCCGCCCAAGAAGACAAAGTAGTCCATGGTCACCACCACTTTACCGTTCACTACCAACCTTCCTCCGCCTCTAGCTTCACTTCAGCGCCTTCCCCAAGCACACCGCCACCTCTTGGGCGGTTGGACCATCACCGCGTCCATGGTATCCAGCCCCAATGCGATCCAGTGAGATGGAGATCTCATGGCGGCCCAATGAGATGGAGATCTAATGACTAGCGAGGTGTGGGGATTGGGAGGCGGCGACCACCTTGGCGGCGTCATGTCCGGCTTCGAGTTGTCTAGTCTCCGGCCATAGGGGCATGGCCACCGTTTCCAACGACCACGCTTGGCGTCCTCCTTGCGAGGCTCATGAGCCTTGTGTTAGTTGATCTCCACCAATAGGCCCAACGAACTATTGTGTCCTTATCTCTGCTCCCTGATCGGGGGAGCCCAACCATAATCCGGTTGGTGGGCCCTCACATGACAAAGACACATAAAAGGAAGGTGGGGTGAGGGCTGGGACTACAAGGTTCGCCGTGAGCCGCCATCCCACCTCAAATAACCTAATCCGATCTAAAGGCCGTCTTTGCCAGCCGACAGGATGAGCCCCAACCACCGCCGTCGACCCATCAGTAGGGTCACCACCGGACCATTGTCTCTCCACCAGCCACATCGACTTCACCGCCACCACTACCGGGCGTCTTCTACATCAAGGCACCGGCGTCTACCTGCTACGTGCATCTCCGAGAGAAGGCGAGAGTCTACCGGATCTACGGGTCACACAGAGGTACCAATCCTACGATCCTAACAATGGTACCAGAGCCGGTTGCCTTTGTGTAACCCTAACCCTAACCGGTAAAAGCAAAGAAAAGGGACCGGGGTGGCGGATGTCACTTTGAACCCGATCACCACCGCCACCGCTGGAAGAAGAGCATTGCCGTCCTCACCGTGCAAGCAACAACAAGAAAAAAGAACAGATCCTTATTCGGATCGAGAGATTAGAAAGGGAAAAGGATCTTAAGAATCCCAACCCTAACCCTAATCGGGTGAAACAACAACGAAAGCGAAAAGGGGAAAGGATCTCAAGAACCTAACCCTAACCCGCGCAAATAGCTCGGGGAAGAAGAAAAGAAAAGGTTTCGGCCTTAAGATGAACAGAGTCGAACCCTAAATCAAAGAAAAGAAAAAGAAATCAATTGAAAAGCGAAACCCTAACCCTAGAACGAATCCCCATCATTAATCGGTTCAATCCAAGATGAAAGAAAGGAAAACAGAAAAGAAAGAAGAAGAACAGGGGTCGGGGCCAGAACCCTAACCCGAGATCTATTCGGATGAACTCCGGAAAAAGTAAGAAAGATCACAAAAGCAAATCAGAGAAAAGAAAAGAAGAATCAAAACCCTAATCACCTGGCGAGGGAGAAGAAGACCGAGCCAGGGGCGAGCTGTTCGCCGGGCTCGGCAAAGGGGTCACCGCGGCTAGGCTCTCGACGGCGGCGCGCTCACCCGCTGGGGAGCCCGCACGCCGGCGAGGGGGCCGGCGACGGTGCCATGGACGCCTTCGCTCGCTCTCGCTCGCTCGGTTGTGCTCGGCTGAGAAGAGATGAGGTAGAGAGAGGAGAGAGCGACGAAGAAGAGAGAGAGAGAGAGGAGAATGAAAATGACCTAGGGTTTTCCACGGGGCGCGCGGCGTCGGGGTTTTATCCGAGCGAAACGGCCGGGCGAACGTCGGATGTGATCCGACGGCGGAGCGCGATTGGGCCAAACTCAGCCAGTGACCAGTATGCGCGAAGCCACTTTCGCCCCCCCTAGGTTGCTAGGTTGGTGCGAAGGGGGCGCCAGCGCGGACTCTTGCAGCGTCTTTGGAGTGGGCGGGCCGCTTTAACGGTCAATGCCGAGTGAATGTAATTGAAATGATTCAGTTTTTGTTTTTTCTTTTTCTAGCAAACATTTATTTCCTGGAAAATGAATAAATGGTTTAAAGAAAATAGAAAAGAGATTTGTCTTGTGGGCAAAATTCATTAAATTGAATTATTTTCCGCTGCTAAAGAGAAAATGTTTATTCTCCAGTTAATTTGTA